GAGGTTATAAATCAATTTTCCACGCATCTCACAAATACTTTCTGTGTATAAAGTTTCTTTCAGTTAATCGAAACAATTAGTTAAATTTAAATTTATTTGATAAACATTTCAACTTACCGATTTATTGTCAGTACTCATTACTTATTACAAGTTAAAAAGAACCGACATAACATAAACAAACCTCTGAGAAACACTCACAAGGAAGAAGCACTGTACAAACTATTTCACAAACATCGTCATTTTACACTTTCTTGTAGCAGAAAACGTTTTAAAGCAAAATTTGCTAAATTTTTTAATCAAATCATCTTTCTATCACTATTTTAAAGTGTTCTTAGATATTAAAACAATTATTTAATATTATATTTCTTAAAAAAACATTTTTTGTTTAAAACAATTCAATAATACCCGCCGTGAAAATGACTTTTCACGCATTTTCACAGCCAGAAATAATGTTCATCTGATCAAAATTTGAGGTATAAAAGCACCTTCAGGTTTATTTTTAAATAAAAGTTCTAATAACCCAGTGGTAACATTAAAACGTTTATCTCCAATATTCACCAAGTGATTATCAAAACTTATTGGTTTATCACCAATAATAAAAGATTCATCTCTGAGTTTGCGTACTCCATATACTGTATCCAAACACTACTTTCTGTTATGATTTATCAAGTACAAATATTTACCAACTACTTTTTCATAGTCAAATCCTGGAATAATTTTATTCTCCTCAACATTTATATAATCTTCTTCTTCATCTTTTTTTTCCTTTTTTTCAATTTTAAAATTTTCACGTGTAATATTAGTCAAGTTCACAATTTTTTGCAAGGGTTGTACTGTAGGTTTGAAAGTTTCATTTAACGCATTTTCAGCATCTTCTTTACCCAATTTCAATATGCGATGCTTCTTTCTAATTGCCTCACTAGATTTAGCAATTTGATGAAGATATTCTTTCTCTTTATGATACATGTTGATATTTCAAGGTTTAAATCAAAACTAATATCATTTTAAGAGATGATCATATATTTATAGTGTTACAAAACTGTCAAATCCTTTTTTATATCTTCTCTTATTTAAGGGGTTAAACCACTCTAGAGCGTCAAAAAAAGGCCTCACTTTAGAAATTTTTTTCTAGAAAAGTTTAAATGTACTGAAAAATATGTTTACATATCTTTATTAGGTACACTTTAAAGAGTATATTTAAAATATACTTCATTAATTTTTTTTTTTAAATATCAAATTTACAGGTACGTGATAGGAACCCTTTCTGAGAGGAATCACGTCGCGGCCGGAAAGGTTTTAGCTCCAATTTTCATCCTAGAACAGAAAACAAATTTCTTTCTATTTTTACATCTTAAAAGCTAGAGAAAGACGTAGGGGATTTTTTTTCAATTGATTTTTGCAAAAATGGCGAACATTTTAAGGAAAAACCGAGTTTTTTACTTAAAAAATTGACACTAAATTGTTTATAACAAAAAAAATATGCAATATAAAAAAAAATCCGTACGTCTTTCTCTAGATAATGTTATTGAGAAGCTACAGTTTAATTTTTAAGTAAATCGGTTGAGATTTGTAAAAGTTATGTTTCCGGCCAGCACAAAAAATGTAGTTTTGAGAAAAACGAGTTTAAAGTTTTACTTACGACTTTTTGGATATACCTTCAATCTGCAATGCCTGCGCCGTATAATTGACCTTCCAAATTAAAAAGTGTTTCGACTTATAATTGATATTGTTTCTTATTCTATACACCCTTAGGCACCTTTTAAAGCAAAAAAATTTTTTTTGATTTTTTGAAAATTCTAGAGTGGTTTAACCCCTTAAATCGGAGTCTTTATCAAAAACAACAAAACCATACTTGTCTGAATTCCAACATTTTGAATATAGCTCTCGAAACTGATTAAATGTCATATCAGTATTAACATGATCATCATATACATGTCGCAAATTTTTTTCATCTTGACGAAAGAGAACTAATAAATTAACATTATCTCGCACTAGATGTTTAGGAATTCTTGCATATGTCTGACAAAGATAGAAACAATCAACATTAACATGCCTACCCATACAAAAGAAAGCCCTTACATTGTCTTGTTTCTCACAGCCAATATCATCAAATATAAATATTGAATTTTTCTTTGCATCTTTAGGAGAAATTACTTCTTCATGATCACTAAATGGCAAGTACTTAACTCCATCAACGTTACTTACAACTTTTTCCAAGAACTTATACTTTGGTTGTTGTAATGATTTTGAGTATAAATAAATGTTTTCAAATGTAAGACCATTGGGATGTAAAATTAGAGAAAGTAATACATTTGTTTTTCCACAATTTGATGGACCACAGAAAATTGCTCGAATGGTTCCTGACAACAAGCTCCCATGACGCTTCAACTTCTTCTCTTGTTTTTGAACAATTAAATCCAGATTCACGACTAGAAGCTTGTGAGGTTGTTCTTTGAATCCCATCCTGATGTAGACTGCCGCAAAAGGTATAAATACAACGCTTATATAGCTTTCAAGTCAATCCTCTTTCATCTTTCATAGAGTAAAGTATGATTTTACATCGTCGCTCTCGAGGTAAAGGTTTGATTAATAATCTTAGAAATAAATTACCATTTGAATTGCATTTGCCAGGTTACCAATACTGTGGACCAGGTACAAAATTAGCAAAATGTCTTGCTCGCGGTGATCCTGGTATCAACCCACTAGACATGGCGTGTAAGGAGCACGATATTGCATACTCAAAAAATCGAGAAAACGTTGAAGCAAGAAACGTTGCAGATAAAGTACTATCTGATAAAGAGTGACAAAGAGTTATATCAAAGGATTCTAGTATTGGTGAAAAAGTTGCTGCTTTAGCTATTTCTAGTTCAATGAAGTTTAAATCAAAATTAGGTATGGGGGTAAAAAGAAATCAAGGACAAAAAAATGAGTTAATCTTAGAAAAATTGTTGATGCTGCTAGGAAATCCATTATTCCAGGCAATGATCCGAGCTCAACAATCAAGGCAGCTATTGAAACTGCTCGAAAAGCTGTCAAAAGAGTAGGAGGTAGAAAAAAAGTATTAACACCTCGTATTCTTCCAGTACCAACAGCAGTTAGTGGTCTATTACCATTAATTCCAATTTTTGCTGGACTCAGCGCTCTTGGAGCACTTACTGGAGGAGCTGCAGGAGTTGCAAAAGCCGTCAATGATCCCTGCTTAAAAAATTTGATAGAATTTGATAGAAAAAAATTTTAATACTTTTCAATCCGTTTTTTGAATCCGCAATTTTGTGTATATTGTATAAGATACTATCAATAGTTTTGGATAGAAAGTCTATCAAAACGAATACTTTTTTTTGATAGAATTTGATAGAAAAAAATTTTAATACTTTTCAATCCGTTTTTTGAATCCGCAATTTTGTGTATATTGTATAAGATACTATCAATAGTTTTGGATAGAAAGTCTATCAAAACGAATACTTCTTTTTGATAGAATTTGATAGAAAAACTTTTTAATACTTTTCAATCCGTTTTTTAAATCCGCAATTTTGTGTATATTATATAAGATATTATCAAAGATTTTGGATAGAATGTCTATCAAAACGAATACTTCTTTTTGATAGAATTTGATAGAAAAACTTTTTAATACTTTTCAATACGTTTTTTAAATCCGCAATTTTGTGTATATTATATAAGATATTATCAAAGATTTTGGATAGAAAGTCTATCAAAACGAATACTTGTTTTTGATAGAATTTGAGGGAACAAAGTTTTAATTCTTTTCAATCCGATTTTTAAATCCGCAAGTTTCTGTATATTGTATTAAGATTCTATCAATTATTTTGGATAGAAAGACTATCAAAATGAATGCTTATTGTTAACAGAATTTAATGGACAAAAATTTTAATACCCCCAGTGAAAAAAAAACGTATTATTATACGTATTATTATACGTATTATTATACGTATAATAAGACATACGAATTTGAAACAAGAATTATACGTATAAATATACGTATAATTATACGTGTCTATAATTTTTAATATTTAGGAATATATAAATATGGAATATATTTTTGTTTATTAATATATTCCTAAATATTATAAAATATTGACAAGTATAATAATACGTATAAATATACGTATAATAATACGCATAAATATACGTAAAATTATACGTACTATTATACGTGTAATTATACGTATAATTATACGTATATTTATACGTATTATTATACTTGTCAATATTTTATAATATTTAGGTGTATATTAATAAACAAAAATATATTCCATATTTATATATTCCTAAATATTAAAAATTATAGACACGTATAATTATACGTATATTTATACGTATAATTTTTGTTTCAAATTCGTATGTCTTATTATACGTATAATAATACGTATAATAATACGTGTTTTTTTTCACTAGGGACTTTTCAATCAGATTTTTGAATCTGGAATTTATAGTGTATATTGTTTAAGATTCTATCAATTATTTTGGATAGAAATTCTATCAAAATGAATACTTTTTTCCGTTCAATTGAGGGGCTGGATGCTATAAGGGAATACGCGCCATATTAATTAAATAACGCGTATTGCATTATAGCATCTAACCCTTCAATTTGATATACTAATTTTTAATAGAAATTATTTATATGCATTTGAATTCTTTTTTTAATCTGCAATATTGTAGATCAATTCTTTAAGTTTCTGTCATAAAGTTATTATTATATACTTATCAAATTTAATACTTTTTTACAGAAAAAAATCCTAGACATTTTAGTTATATTTTGTATAAGTTTTTATTCAGAACTTTTGTTGCAAAGTTTATAACATATATATTATATGTTTATTTAGTACCTTAAATACATATATACATTGTGCAATTTTATTTATATATATATATATATATATATATATATATATATATATATATATATTATTTTAAAAGATTTTTTTAGAAAAGACAATGATTTTCATATTTTATTTTATTTAAACATTATAATGTAAGTTAAATAGTATGTAAACTAAAGTACATTGATATAATAGGAATAAAATTTTCAAATGTTCTGATATAATATATTTAGTTGAATACTATTAATAAAATATTTTAATAAATAAACCTAAATACACTATTAAATATTCTTCTCATCAAATAAATTGTCATTCATGTTCAAGGGTTCGATGAATAAGGGATCTTGGTAGTTGTCATTTACATTGTCATTAATACTGTCGTCATCATTGTCATTGCCTGACAAGTCGTCAAATTCATAATCACCATCTGATGCTACACTTTTATCATTACTTTCATCCACTTCCATGTTATCACCTTCGTTTCCAATTAGAGATATATCCTCTACTTTTTCAACACTTTCTATTTCTTGACAAAATTTTTCTTCTGCTGCTCCATTACCTAAAATAAATAAATAATTGTTAAAAATGTTTTATATATAACTTTTTCTATTATTGCATATTTATATAACTAAAATAATTAGATATTTTAATGTAATTAAGCAAAACATTCGTACTTGTAACTGCAGTTGACTCTTCGCATTTTTTAATACATCTTTTCATTTCACTTATTTTATGTGAAATGTATTTACCCACTTTTGCTTTTTCTAGTTCGGACTCCATCTGGCTTTTTTTCAACTCTACCCTCATCCATTGGAACGTTATATCTGTAAATATTGTTGATTAATAACATCATTTGTTAAAAAAGTAGTTTTTAACTCATTCAAAAATTTAATTTTCTTAAAAAAGTTGATTAAGCTTTAATTTCTGTCCAGATAGCATCTTAAATTTTTTTTTAAATTACAAAGAAAAACTTTCATCAAAACTTTTGTAATTTTTAACAAGTTAACAATGTTAACCTTAAACTCTGAGGACATTTAAAACTTCTGTGATGTTAACAGTGTTAATAACTTTCGTGTTAATAGTGTAATTCAAAAATGTTCTGTATTTTAATTATGTTTACCCCCAATAGCCATCAATTTAATTGGATCCAATTTAAATATCTCCTGTTCTGCGTCTGCGATCTTTTTACTTTTGGACCTATTTGATGTTTTGCCTGTAACCGTACTGGCTAAGAGTGTATCTATGCCGAAGACGGCCAAAGCTATTTCTTTTACAAATAAAGCTGGTGTAATGCGAGATTTTCCTTTAATGGCGTCATATACAGTCTTCTTTATCCAAATATTACGACCCAGGTGTATCTACAAAAGTATAGATAAATATATAATAATATTTTATAACAGTTTTTTTAATTTCATAATTGAGCTTCTAGTAAGCTATATAAGTAATTGAGCTTCTAAACTTGCACGTAAGTCCCCTTTTCACTGTCCAGGTCACATATATATATATATATATATATATATAGTTTTTTCTTAAATTTTTACCTCATCTCCTTTAATGGCACTAATCAAGTCCGCACACTCTTTTCCTGACATGTTTGCTACCTCTGTAACCTCACTCGTCAATTCCTTTAAATTAGCTATAGATAAAAAAATGTTTTTATTAATTAAATGTAAACAAATATGAAGTATAGTACTTAAAACGTTTAAAATAATAATTATTTGATTAAATATTTACAATGTAAATTTGAAAATTGTCCAATGACCGTTCTCTGTAAGTCCATGTTTAACAAAAGCAGGTCATTTTTCTGATCCATTTCATCTTCCAGTTGTTTTTTTAATTTTTTAATTTCGATTATACATTTTTTTAATTCAATATCTTTTTTCCTTAAAATAAGTTTGAGTTCATTGTTGTCATTTTTCTTTGTTTCGTTTTCCTAGAAATATCAAATATCTAATAAATAAAATTATTAAAGGCACTCTCACACCTTTTTGGCTGCTTGCTTGCCTGCAGGTTACCATGGCAACGCACGAGTGTGAGTGAGACAGAAAATTTGAATATTCAAATTTTTTAATTTTCTGTCGCACTCACTCTCATGCGTTGCCATGGTAACCTGCAGGCAGCCAAAAAGGTGTGAGAGTGCCTTAATAGTAAACAGGGATGTAAAAGACATCAGTGAAGATTCTTATCCTACAAGTCACGTATTATTATCAATATCTCCGTAATTATAAAACCACAATATTTTCTCAATTTAATTTACAAACAAAATAAATTTCATATACATAATATAATATAAAAACGTAAGCTACCAATTTCTAAAATATATTCACACTAATATTACAACGAAATGTTATAATAAATTATAATACCTTATTATTAAAATCTTCTTTGGTTTTGAGAATTAAAGGAGTTTCACGTTGATGAATTTTATCAAAATTTATAGAATTTTCATTTTGTATAATATTATCAACTGCAAAGTTACTGACATTTAGTGTAGAAGCAATTCTATTTAAGTTTACCTGTAAAAATACATACAGCTACAAAGTCACTCCGCTACAATCTTTTATATTTTCGTGAAAGAGTGTGTAACTTACCGATAATTCTTTAATCTTCTCGGACGGTCTTGGCACATTTTTATCAAATTCAGACACATTTATTGCAGGTTTCGGTACTGTTATTGATGTTATAGTAGGTTGAGAAACTGCTGCCATTTTTGCCAACTTGGCATTTAAAATATTTTTCTGAGTTTCATTGTTGTTATCTACCTGTTAATTTAATAAAAAACAAAGATTTCTCTGATTATCAAAACATTTACTTCCTTTCACAGTTTATTGTATTTTTTATTTTAAATATATCAAATTTTGTAAAATATGCTACGAGAAATTATATCAAATAATTGACAATATTATAAATTAAAAATTTTCTATGTGTACAATTTAGATGTCATGTTTGATACTTTTGTAAAGTTTAAAATGTTTACAATTAGTTTGATTCTGAAATATTCTCGAAATAAATTTTCTTGATAATATTCTTATAGATTCTCATTACAAAAGTAATAAAATTAATTTAACATCTAATAACATTAGTTATTTAAAGTAAAATATTTATTAACCAATTAAATTTTATTAAAATAAAAAAAATGACTAAAACGACATTTTTGTCCCTTAAAGTCGATACGAGGCCTGTAATAATATGAGGCGCATGATTTTCCCCAAAAATTAAAAAGTTCGAAATTTTAATTGATCGAATTAATTTAAGTCGAAATTCTAAAAGAACGACAGTTAGGCCAGTCAATAAAGACAAAAAGTGCCACTAATTGCTTACAAATTTTTCTAATCGGATTTTGGTAGTTTGGGGGGGGGGTAGTATAAAGGCCCCACAGTTTGCTCTCGATTTCCGGTTGCAGTAATTAGTGTAAATAATGGTTAAAGTTGGTGAAACGTGGTTTTTTGGTGCTGGTTGCTTTCCTGTATATTATAGAGGAAAAAGTTGTGATTAGAAAAAAAGGTATTAAAAATACCTACAAAACGGTTGGTCGAAAGTTAAAATCGGATTATTTGTTTAAAAGTTATTGAATTTAAACCATTAAAAATGGCACTTTTTTAATTGTTTAATAACTTTGTCAATGATAATCCGATTGGAGTGAAACTTTCTGAAAATGTGCCCCTCGCGATACTGAACAAAATGAAAAAACTTCGAACTCAATCGGATGAATAGTTTATTAATTATTCCATTTGTTAATTAAAAACATGTTGTTTTTCAACCTACTTTCTACAGAACGATATGGAGCGAATTCAATTTTTTTTCTTTCATTTTACTCTTGAAGAGTGATACTATTATGTACATAAAAGAAAGAATTGAAATTCATTAATTAATTGCATAATTATGGATAAAGAAAAAATGTTACTTTTTTTCGTTATAAACAATTGAAATTACTCGGCCAGTTTTTACTCTATCGAATTCTAATAAACGCCATTGAATTTCTTTTTTCTTTACAAAACTTTTAAAAAAAAGAAAAACAATCTAGGTCAAAGGGGGGGGGGAGATAACTTTTTATTTTCAAAAAATTCTTCACCCTATAATTATTAATATTTTTTAGTCAAATTTACAGTACTTCAAGCTTAATTTACGTACTATAAGATAAAAAATTGTAAACATTGTAGGAAATTTTTTTCTTATTTATAAAGTGGGCTAAAGGGAGTTCATCATTTTTCCTTGCTCAAAACGGCGGAGTGGGGGAACTCGTAGCGCGGATTGACGCCCGCTATAAAACTGAAATCGCCCGTTCAAATTTACAAAAGTTGTTGTAAGTCGGTTAATTTTTAACCGATTTTAATCTTTCTTTTCTTTGATTTTATGTTATTTTTTCTCCTCTTTTCAAAAATGGAATTCTATTTTTAATAAAAAAATTTTTTATCAATATTTTAATAATTTTTTTTTAATAACAAAATTTTTTCATTAATTTAAACATTTTTATGCTTTTTTTTAATTGCACATAATTTTAAGCATTTAAATGTTATTTAATTTTTAAAAATTATTAAAATAATTAATTCACATTCGTGTAGCACTATGTACTCTTTTTGATAATGTAAAAAATTATATTTTATTACAGTTTAATAATGATAATAATAATAATTTGTGTTACAAACATTTAAAAAGGAATAAAATCACTAGTAAACTGTAATAAAATATTGCTTCCTCTTGGAGGAAGCTTTGTAGTCCTTTCGTTTATAAAACTTTTCAAAGTGGCGGAAACAAATTTTTTTCTTTATAGAAACATGTTATATGAGATCCTGATCAAATGTCCGGATGTATGTATGTGTGTGTGTATGTGTTTGTGTGTGTGTGGATCCCTTTTTTGTTTAAAAGATAAATTTAACAGGTTTAATGAATTTAGATAAAATTTGGTAGGCTTATTTATCATATTAATATCTCAAAACTGACCAAAGGATTTTAAAAAATACCCCAAAAAAATTTTATCGTCTTTTTTCCAAAAATTTTTTTTAATCGAAAAAATTTTTAAATAGAAAAATTTAAGGTTATATATGATAAAATCGTATTCCTTACGCCAAGACAAATCGATCGATATATATAAAGTATACATTTGAGGTAAATTTAAAGAATTAATGAAAGTTAAAAAATCAAAAATTCACATTTTGGCAAAAAAATTTTGTGATTTTTTAAATTGAAGTATATATATGAATTAATTGTATTCCTTACGTCAAAACGAATCGATGTATATATGTAAAGTATACATTTGAGGTAAATTTAAAGAATTAATGAAAGTTTATATATATTATTATTATATATATAATTGTAAATAATTATAAATTATATATTATTTTTTATTCATTTTTATAAATTTCAGCTAAAATGTGAATTTTTCAATTAATTAATGCGTAATTAATTATTCCATTAATTCTTTAAATTCAACTCAAATGTTTATATTATTATATTATTTATGTATGTTTATTTCAATGTTAATGCTTTCTCCACAAGGAAGCAAATTTTTTTGCTGATCGTAAAGAGGAAGCAAAATGTTCATGTAATGAACATCTGAATTTACAACTTGTTTACATTATCAAAAAGAGTACATAGTGCTACACGAATGTGAATTAATTATTTTAATAATTTTTAAAAATTAAATAACATTTAAATGCTTAAAATTATGTGCAATTAAAAAAAAGCATAAAAATGTTTAAATTAATGAAAAAATTTTGTTATTAAAAAAAAATTATTAAAATATTGATAAAAAATTTTTTTATTAAAAATAGAATTCCATTTTTGAAAAGAGGAGAAAAAATAACATAAAATCAAAGAAAAGAAAGATTAAAATCGGTTAAAAATTAACCGACTTACAACAACTTTTGTAAATTTGAACGGGCGATTTCAGTTTTATAGCGGGCGTCAATCCGCGCTACGAGTTCCCCCACTCCGCCGTTTTGAGCAAGGAAAAATGATGAACTCCCTTTAGCCCACTTTATAAATAAGAAAAAAATTTCCTACAATGTTTACAATTTTTTATCTTATAGTACGTAAATTAAGCTTGAAGTACTGTAAATTTGACTAAAAAATATTAATAATTATAGGGTGAAGAATTTTTTGAAAATAAAAAGTTATCTCCCCCCCCCCTTTGACCTAGATTGTTTTTCTTTTTTTTAAAAGTTTTGAAAAGAAAAAAGAAATTCAATGGCGTTTATTAGAATTCGATAGAGTAAAAACTGGCCGAGTAATTTCAATTGTTTATAACGAAAAAAAGTAACATTTTTTCTTTATCCATAATTATGCAATTAATTAATGAATTTCAATTCTTTCTTTTATGTACATGATAGTATCACTCTTCAAGAGTAAAATGAAAGAAAAAAAATTGAATTCGCTCCATATCGTTCTGTAGAAAGTAGGTTGAAAAACAACATGTTTTTAATTAACAAATGGAATAATTAATAAACTATTCATCCGATTGAGTTCGAAGTTTTTTCATTTTGTTCAGTATCGCGAGGGGCACATTTTCAGAAAGTTTCACTCCAATCGGATTATCATTGACAAAGTTATTAAACAATTAAAAAAGTGCCATTTTTAATGGTTTAAATTCAATAACTTTTAAACAAATAATCCGAAAGCAACCAGCACCAAAAAACCACGTTTCACCAACTTTAATAACCATTATTTACACTAATTGCTGCAACCGGAAATCGAGAGCAAACTGTGGAGCCTTTATACTACCCCTCCAAACTACCAAAATCCGATTAGAAAAATTTGTAAGCAATTAGTGGCATTTTTTGTCTTTATTGACTGGCCTAAGTTATAAAAGTCGACATTTTATTTAGTCGATATTTTATTTGATCGAAATTCTAAATGATCAATATATAAAGTGGTCAACAATTTATTTAGTCGATATTTAAAATGGTCGACATTTTATTTAGTCGATATTTTGTTTGATTAAAAATCTAAATGCTCGATATTTTAAGTGGTCGACATTTTATTTAGACGATATTTTATTTGGTCGAAATTCTAAATGATCGACATTAAAAGTGGTCGACACTTTATTAGTTCGATATTTTTTTTTGTGGTCGATATTCTAAATGGTCCACATTTATGGAGCGGTCACACCTCGGCTGCAGGAGCAGTTGCCCATGGCAACCGTGTAAGAGTAAGAGAGATAGAAGATTTTCCTTCTCTCTTACTCTTACACGGTTGCCATTGGCAACTGCTCCTGCAGGCGAGGTGTGACCGCTCCATTAAAGTGGTCGATATTTTATTTGTTCAACATTTTTTTAGCTATATGAGTTTCCTCTCTATGTTGTTATTATTATTTACATCAATAATTTCAAACGCAAAATTTCAGTGTGCTTTCCCGACAAACTACATAGAAAGGAAACTCGTATAGCTAAAAAAGTGTCGAGCTTTTAAAATATAGACCAAATTAAATTTCGATGGATATAAAATTCGATGCTTCTAAATTTCTATCATTTAGAATATCGAACAAATAAATATCGACCACTTTAAATGTCGTTCATTTAGAATATTTACCAAACAAAATATCCAGCTAATAAAATTTCGACCACTTTTAATGTCGATCATTTTGAATTTCGACCAAATAAAATAACGTCTAAATAAAATGTCGACCACTTTAAATATCGACCATTTAGATTTTCGATCAAATAAAATATCGACCTTCATAAATGTCGGTTATTTAGAATTTTCGACCGAATAAAAAATCGACTGAATAAAATGTGGACTTTCATAAATGTCAAAATAAAAAAAACCGACATTTCTTCACACATATACTTTCAAAAAAGGAATTTAAAAACTTTTAATTTTACATTTGATCATTATAGAAATTTTTTTCTTTATAGGATTTAAATTATATGCCGTTTATATAGAATATAAAATAAAATTGAATTTTCGTACTTGCGCCACGATAAGTAGAGCAGCTATATCTTTTTTTCAATTTTGTTATTAAATTATTATAATTTCTTATATTATTTTACTGGAAAATTTTTTATTTTATAATAATTTTTAAAAATAATTACAGACAAAATAAGTCATAATGACACAAGGACAGAATTTTCACATTTTTCTTGAAAATGTTTATAACTAGAACTGAAATACTTTATAAATTTAATTTAACTTTTCGCTTAAAATTTTTTTTTTTATCATTTTCGGAATCCGTGTCAGTGAAAGAGTCCATATTTTTTAAATTGGGAATTTTCATTCTTTTATTGTTATTAGTTGACGCCATAAAAGTTTCTACACTTTTCTTCGTTTCTGAAAATCATGCTCGATATTAGGATATGGATTTACATTTCATTTTGAACAAATTGAAAAAGACGGTTTAAAATTTTTATTGCCTTTTTCTCAAAAAAATGTACAATAAGAAAAAGGTTTGGTGCACATCTGTTTTAGAAAGCATTTATATGAAGACGCTCGAGACTATTATTGACCTGTGGATCGGACCCTTTTTTCTCAAAAGAAAATAGTTTGTAATTTTGTCAATATACGAAAAAAGTTAAATTCTAAACTTTTAGAGATTTTTTTAAAAAGTGTCGTATACGGCAAACATTTTTTTACAATAATGATTTACGTTAAACAAATTGTTATTATAATAATAATAATAATAATAAATAAAAGCATAATTATAAAAAGTTCCCCAATGTTAAACGCTAAACTTAACTCAAAAAAACATACACAATTTTATTAATTTAATATAAAAAGCTTAGATACATATAATTTTTGTTCATTTTCTAATTACAACGTATATGAATTAATTATATATATTTATTATATAAATATTATAGTTTTCATATTTACATTTTTTATTTTCAATAATGAATATTTAGATTGTTAAAGCAATTGTTATTTACAAGAAACATAAATGAAAATTAAAAATAATATGAACATTATAAACTGCAGGCAATGTTATAAATTATTATACTAGAATCTATTACATTAAATTTTTGAAATTTGTATAAGACTACGGTAGAAAAACAATCTTTAAAATTCAGGCATTCATTTACCTAACTATATTTGAGTGCGAGGTTCAACTTGTAATAAACCAAATCAGCAGGGGACACCAAGGGATTATAGTATGACATTCAATAGGGCTATATTTTTTTTTTATTATGTGCATATGGGTTTTCCCTACTTTTAAACACTTTCTATTTAAAATTAAAAAATAAATTTTGTAAAAACATATTAAATATGAAAATACTTAACACAGAAAATTAATTAATTAAAAATTAAATTAAAAATTAAAATTTTAATTCAATTTTGCTTATTTTTATCCATTTTGGTATTAAAATAAGCAAAATTGGATTAAAATAAGAAGCGTTGCAGCTTATTTTAATGCCTTTTAATTTTCTGTGAAGTTGTTAAGTACCTACTAAATATCAAAACATCAATATTGAACGAGTTTCAGATAAACGTTTGCTCAATTTTTATGTTAAACTTTCAAGTTTATTTTATTTGAATAAACTAATATTTTTTATAAAAAAAGACTTATTAAAAACTAATTACTTTTTTGGAAATATATTTTATGTTAAAATTAATAAATTGTGTATACAGGGTGATTTGTATGTTTCGGTCCCCTTAAAAAATTTTATTCTTATTTTTTTGTTTTTTAGACAATAATAATGAATTTAAAAAAAATATTTAGGGGGTCCGGAACATAAAAATCACTTTGTATATCAAATTAATGACAGCAGCATGTAAACTCTCGAAATCTAAATTAAAGAAAATTAATAAATTATTTCAATATTTTTGTAGTAAAAAATAGAACTAATTTAAAAGCAAAAAGTAGGTTACTAATTCGGTTAGTTAAATTTTTTGTTTATAGTGAGTGTAAATATAACCAATAATTATTTCAACTTGCATACAGTTTATTCTAATTATTATATAAAAATTTTCAATTTTTAATATTGAGAAAAATATATACTGACAATGAGAAATGTACAATAGTGTATTAACAATATTTTTGACAAAATCACAAAAAATAGTGTATAAAAGGATTTGTTATAGAACTTATGAAATAAGATATACATTTTGTAGCACTTTCTTTTATACCAATAATAATTTTTATGCTTCGCGTAAATAACATTGATTTAAGAGCATCTTTTTTCTAATGAATCATAAATATATATGCAATTGTTATTTATATTGAAAATTCAGGAAGAAAGCAAAGGGCATTTTTTAAATAATAAAACTGATACTTGTAAATTGATATTTGTAAAACGAATCTTAAAATCAGTCGTTTGACATAAAGTTTTTTAATTGTAAATTAATTAAATATACTATTAAAAAATTCTTCTAAAGAAATTTATGCCCATTTATATTTCAAATTCTTTAAAATATTTTAATATAGACATACCTCCTAAAAAAAGTAATACGGCACCACAGTATCCGTCACCACAGATAATACGAACATTTTTTTTTCGTTCCACTTCATCGCCTTTAAAATGTTTAACATTTTTCGTTTCAACAATTGTTAATAACTTGTGTCGAACACAAGTTTTCATGAATTTGGCACACGCGTAACTCATTTTGTCGAAAATACAGAAAACAAATCCAAAGTTATTGCGAACGCAACTGTATTTGCTCACTATATGCCTGAAATGATTTTGAATCTGTTGCGCGCCCGAGAGTAGCTACTCGAAGCGACGAAGCGACATCTGTATGATGCCCACAAGAAAAAAATTGTATTAATATAAAAATTGTATACGCCATGCAACTATACCGGCGTACCACAATTTTTATGTTACTAAATTAATTATTTAGAAAATAATAACAATAATGACATTTTTTAAAATAAAACAAGGAAATAAAAATTGTAAAATAAAACTGTCAAGTAAAAGAACATTCTGTGAATTAGTTTTCTGCCTTTGTCAAAAAATTTTTAATTCGCAGAAAAAAATTCTTTACAATTCAATTTTTTTGTTTTTAATAAATCTATTTCAAAAGAACGGAAGTTTTGTCAAAACAATTAATTGAATGATAATATTATTTAATGTAAATTTACTTAAGTCAATTTTTTATAATAGATTTTTAATCGACTTACTTCAATAAAGCTGAAATCATTTATTATTAAAAAGTGATGTGCATATGAGAATATAAAATTAATTTTATAACATCTTCAGGTCATATGACAACATTAGACCTATATACATGCAAAAATATTCTCCGCAAGTTTTCTCGTAAAGTACTTTTGGAAAAAAATTTCAATTAAATTTTAGTTAGTATTAGTTTATTAATTACTAGCAATATTAAACGCGCGCAAGCGCGCCAAATTGAGTATTTCATTATTTGTTATAGAGAAATTAAAAATTAATATTATCAATAATTATTTAAATTTATTAGAATATTATTCCATATTAAATGATAAAAATAAAAATTATATGTTTATAGGCCTCAGATTATTAATTATTAAATTATTAAATTTTAAATTCAAAGTCTTTTAAAATTCAATTATTTTCCAAATTTTCAATTTAAAATCAAATGAAATTCAATTATTACCCAAAATTTCCATTCAAAATCAACTGAAATTCACTTATTTTCCAAATTTTCAATTTAAATTCAAATAAAATAAAATTATTTTCTAAAATTTCATTTCAAAATTAATTATCAAAAATTAACTAAAATTGAATTATTATTTAAAATTGTAATTGAAATTTAATTATTTTCCAAAATTTCAATTCAAAATCTTTTAAAATTCAATTATTTTCCAAATTTTCAATTTAAAATCACATAAAATTCAATTATTAATCGAAATTTTAATTTACAATCAACTAAAATTCAAATATTTTCCAAATTTTTCTATTGAAAATTAACAAAAATTCAATTATTTAATTATTTTCCAAAATTTCAATTCCAAAATTAACTAAAATTCAATTATTTCCCAAAATTTTAAATCAAAATCAAAGAAAATTCAATTATTTTCAAAATTTTCAATTCAAAATCAATTAAAATTCAATTATTTTCTAAATTTAAAATCAAATAAAATTTAATTATTTTACGAAATTTTAATTTACAATCAACTAAAATTCAAATATTTTCCAAATTTTTCTATTGAAAATTAACAAAAATTCAATTATTTAATTATTTTCCAAAATTTCAATTCCAAAATTAACTAAAATTCAATTATTTCCCAAAATTTTAATTCAAAATCAAAGAAAATTCAATTACTTTCCAAATTTTTAATTCAAAATCTTTTAAAATTCAATTATTTTCCTAGTTTTCAATTTAAAATGAAATAAAATTCTTCAATTATTTTCTAAAATTTCTATTCAAAATTAATTATCCAAATTTTCAATAAAAAATGAACTTAAATTAAATTATTATCCAAAATTTCAATTAAAATTCAATTATTTCCCAAAATTTCAATTCAAAATCAAAGAAAATTCAATTATTTTCAAAATTTTCAATTCAAAATCAATTAAAATTCAATTATTTTCTAAATTTAAAATCAAATAAAATTTAATTATTTTCTAAAATTTCAATTCAAAATTAATTATCAAAATTTTCAATAAAAAATCAACTAAAAATGAATTATTATCCAAAATTTTAATTGAAATTTAATTATTTTCCGAAATTTCAAATCAAAATTAAAGAAAATTTAATTATTCTAAAAAATTTGAATTCAAAATTAATTGAATTTTCAATAATTTGAATTTAAAAGCATTTAAAATTTAATTATTTCTAAAATTTTCCAACGAAAATTTTTTGAAATTTAATAATTTCAATTATAACTCTAAGGGAATTCAATTATTTTTAAATATATTTTTATAATATTCTTTGAAAATTCAACTATCTGAAACCATTTTTCAATTAAAAATGATTATCAAATAATTGTATTTTGTCTGTAATTTCTAATAAATTTTTTAGTGAAATCATAAAAAATTTTAATTAAAATCACTTGAAATTCAATTAATTTCTAAAATCTCAATTTTTAAATCTTTTGAAAATTCAATTAAATTTAAAAAATGTTTTCCAAAAAATTTTTTGATAAATTATTTTTAGTTCTGTAAAATTTTATTATTGTTTGAAAATTAACAATATCTTTTGAAATTTAATTATTTCTAAAATTTTCAAGTTTAATTTGATACAAATTTGACACGTCATAAGATTACTATTCAAAAAACACGTGAAATCATAAAAAACCAACTTCAAGTTAGGACAGAAGGACAGACCAAGCATTTTATTATTATATAATTTTCAAAATAATCATTTTTTGTTTAACAGATATTTCTTTTTTAATTCAAGAATCCATTGTAAAATGTTGAGGTTAGTAAACTTATATTACATAATATTGACTTTAAGTTGTTTAGTATTTCACATTAAAAATAGATTCATTATGATGAAAAAAATTGCGTTTCTTTGCAATGCAATATAAGTAATCCCTATTGAAAAACCCTGTACAAGATTTTGTACAAGAAAATGTACATGTTCAGCAGCTGAACTTATACCTGTTCTGGTAAGAACATGTACAAGATCTTGTACATTTTCCGCATCAGAATTTTGAACAAGTTCTTGTATTAGAACTTGTACAAGAACATGTACAAGAAAATGTACATTTTCATACAAATATTAAATATATTTACTTGTACAACTTGTACAAGAACATGTACATTTTCTTGTACAAGATCTTGTACAGGGTTTTTCAATAGGGATAGTATTTAACTTATTCCTTATAAATAGCTAATTATAAGTACACCATTTATCTAAATAAATAAAAATACACTGACGAATAAGTGAAATTCCACTAATTCAGATTAAAGTATCTTCAAATCTGAAGAAGTGAAATTTCATTTATTGTGGATACACTTAGGTATCTTGGGGTCATTATTTTTGTCAGAGAAAGTTGTGCATGTTCATCTTCAACAACTTATATACTAATTATGTTTTAATTATATTCCCTAGTTACATAGGCAAAACGTCAGTAGGCGAAAACAGCTCATTCCGTATTTGAACCTAAAGTCGGTAGTAGTAGTACATTTTACAACTTTTAAGGAAAACTATATGTTACAATTATATTGCTGTGCAGTGAATAATATTTTTGTGCATCATATATTTATGCATTACATCGAGCAAGATATAAGAGAGTATCATTAGTGAAAGTGAGTATACACATTATTCTAAATATGTAATGACATCATTGATTTTTTTGGCTGGGAAATTGAGGATATATAATATGTGACCGGGTCTGAGAAAACGGTGTATTCGACCAAAAAATCGATTTTTTATGATGGTTTCTTATAGTTTATAGTCCCAAAAATACAATGCTATATACAATACAATTTCAAAAAAAATTTTTTGCATTTGTTTAAACAAATCAAAAATTTTTGTTTATTTCGAAAAATTTTTTTAATGCAAATACAAGTAATTCTAAAACAAAAATAACTCTTGGTAGTTTTGCTTAAAATAAAAAATTAAAAACTTATAAATTTTCTTAGCCTTAAGTATACATTTGCTTAATAAATTTTTTGATATGTATTTATTTATAAAGATAAAAAGAAATAAAAACTCCTTTTTCTACATAAATTAATAAATGAATATTTAAACATAAATTTAAAAAAAATTCATAACAAATGACATTTTTTCTTCCAAGAAATATAATGTAGAAAAACATTTTAAAGGGCAATATAATTTTTTCTAAATGTCTGTATCTAGCAATAGAAAAACATTTGCAAGACTTGCTTGTCCTATACTCGAATTTCTTTTTACGACATCTCTGCGGGATGTCTTTTATCCTTGTATACGATCCATTATGAATCTAAACAACGTAGCACATGTTGCATTATTAAAAAAAAAATTCAACATCACAGTCGTCTTAACACTATTCAATATTAAATAACAAAACTTAATTTGGTACTAATTCTGACTTTATATAAAAAAATAAGAATTATGTTAATTAATTTTATAATAATTTTATATAAAGCTGGAATTGCACGTAATATATAAAACTTTGAAGTATACTAGCAAATAATAATTATAATTACTATATAGTCTTAATAAGTTTTTTTTATATTTTTTAATTTATTTTATTATTATTATAGGCGGGTGAAAATTTCCCAACTGGGCCACCTAAAACTGACTTTTCAAATTTAAAATATTTTTTTTCATAATCTATTGTAGAAAGCCGAATTAAAAACATTCCTGAAATGCGTTTTTTAAAATATTAATTTTTCAATTATTTATTAACAATTGAATATTTTGTTACCTTTCCACAAAATCTGCAATTACTCTGTTGCTTGTTAATGAAATTTAATAAAATTTGGTGAGTATATAGAAAAATGATGTCTCTTTGAAATGCAATAGAAATTTTAATTAACCTTTATTGTTTATGCAAATTAAATTGTTTATTTAATAAACAAATGAATATTTAAACTATTTCTCATATGTTTAGGAAAGAATTTCAAAAACGACATAAATCTACACTTTCTCAACTTTAATTTAAAAAAAAAATCTTAGTACCTTTAAAAAATGAGTGAATTACGCGAGTTTGAAGAGTGACGTGCAAGCGCTGGAATAGTCACCACTGCCGCGCGCGGCGCGCTACTATGCGTCGAAGCCTATTCTCTGTCATCGAATTATTGACTATAGAATTCTTGAATATCAATTTTTTTCTTTATTTTATTATTTAATATTTAATGCTTTATTTAACGCAATTATTACTAGAATTGAGTCTCTGGATATTTATTTACCTTTTGCAACTCGAATTTTTTCATATTTGGTCATTTTAACATTTATTTTTGCGAATTACCAAGTTTCTACCCAATGTCCACTCAATGTCTACTTTACAAAGTGGACGTTGAGTGATTTTAATCCGCCAGGGTTCATAAAATTAAACGTGTTCTTATATTAATAAGGAATACATTTTTTTAAATTATTAATTAAATTATTAAATTACTATAAATTAATTATTAAAATTAATTAAAATAATAATTAACTTATAAATATAATTAAATTATAATTATAATAGAATTATAAGAAAAAAATTTTTTTTATTTAAATTAAAAATTAAATTATTAAATTACTATAAATTAATTATAAAAATTAATTTTATGAATTTGTTATTTTATCGAAAAGATTTTAATTGGGACGCTTAATGTGGACTAAGTGTGAATTTTTGAAAATTAACTTAACGTAGAACCAAATTTTTCAGTAGCAGAACTTTTATTTAACCGAATTTTTATTAAAGCGTAATTTTTATTTAACCGAATTCTTATTTAATTAAATTTTTGCAAAATCAAATTTTTATTTAGCCAAATTTTACATTTCAATGCAAAATTTTCTCTAGTGATACTAATTCTGTTACTTGCAAAATAATTTAATGAATATTCAGTTTTTGAAAAAATTCTCAGAAACCAGTTGTAATGAAAAGTTATATGATTGTTAAATAATAAAATAAAGAAAAAAATTGATATTCAAGAATTCTAGTCAATAATTCGATGACAGAGAATAGGCTTCGACGCATAGCAGCGCGCCGCGCTACTACTAAATGAAAAATTAATTTTTTAAAAAACGCATTTCAGGAATGTTTTTAATTCGGCTTTCTACAATAGATTATGAAAAAAAATATTTTAAATTTGAAAAGTCAGTTTTAGGTGGCCCATTTGGGAAATTTTCACCCAGGCATAATAATTATTATAATATTTATTTTTATTACTTTATAAATAGTTAATTAGAAATTAATTACCGTAAAACGGGGTTATTTCGCTCAGTGCGGGTAAAGTCGCTCACCCATTTTTTTGCTTTAAATTTGATTTAAACTAAAATTTAGTATTTCTATTAACAAATTTAACATTTTTACCTGGTAATAAAGGTATTAAACTTTATTTTAAAGATGAAATAAAGCATAAAAGTGGGTGAGCGAATTTACCCGCCATGAGCTATTAGTAATTTTTACTACCAGAAATAGTAATATTTACTCATGCGAAGGAAATTTTACAATTAATAGTAATTTTTACTACAAAAGTATAATTATTACTATTCTATATAAATCATTTTTCTCCGTGCATATATAGGGGGAAAAAGGCGCAAAAGAAGAAGAATCCTCTAAAATTAAGAACTTATTTTTTTCGGTGTAATCTATATAAATTACATACATTACTTTTCTTTGTAGAATTTATCGAGATTTTTCGATTTTTTTGATTTACTAAATAGAAGAACCCTGGAGCGGTCAGACGGTCGCTCTAATGGTAGTTGGGTAATAGCGTGCGGACCATTATAGCTGACTCCTACTTGACTGACATTAAAGCGAGCGGGCAAGCTGTCGACGAGTACTATTTCATTAAATTTTTTTCTATTTCAGCAATGACGGACAAAAATGGGCAATTAAGTAAACGTAAACGTTACAAACAATATTTGGATCCAAATTATAATTCAAATGAAGTCAGTGCACAAACACATCTTAGATGGAATCAAAGATCACTTAGTACTACTTTTGCTGATATTTCTAATGGTACTTAATTTTATTTTTCAATTTATTGTTACCACAAAATAAGGTATATTCGGCCTTTAAATGTTGACTGACTATATACCCCATTTTACGGTAAATAATGGTTATATTAATGTTTTGCAAAATATAATCTAAATCCTTTATTATTTTCAATTAGGTCCCTCTTCTTCAAATGAAATTGATCAAATGGATGTAACCATTGCAGAAGAATGTCTCACGCCAGCAGACAATGAAACTGTTTTTATTATTTCGAAAGACTCTGTTTTAATAAATGAGCAACATAAAGTGTCAAACTCATACAATAACGAAACAACAAACCAAGAAAAAACTTACGGTCAATTACACCAAACAATGTCTGTGGATTCAAACGATTTTCTTTCTTCTGATAATGAGTCAATAAATCTTGAAAGTTCTGATATAGACAACTTAGATGAATCAGACAGCGAAGATTCAGCTGCTAATATTAACGAAGAAATTGACATTGGTTTTTCTAAACTTCTAAATTTTGGAAGAGAAATTATGTTTCCAAGTGCTGCTCTCTGTGTCTCTGATGTACTCTTTATGATATTAGGATTTTGTTTACGCTTTTCGCTTTCTGATTCAGCTCAAATGTCTTTATTTGAATTGGTAAAGGCCTTAGCTGGGCCAAAATTTGAAAACTGGCGATTATCAAAATATATGTTTTCTCAATTATGTGATGCTCCTGATAATGTTATAAAATATAATTTTTATTGTACAACTTGTTCTGTAGGTTTGTTGCCATGTACGACTAAAAAAAAATTTAAAAAATCAACAACTACTTGCAGTAAATGCGGACAAAAATTTAAATTAAGTATGTCATCAACAAATTATTTTATTTCAGTTGATTTAGAATATCAATTAAAGTTATTATTTAGTAACGTGGATGTCAAAAATGCATTAATAAAATATCATAAGAAAATTAGAAAAAACGTTAATGATGGATCAAATGTTATACGCGATGTATTCGATGGTCAATTGTATAAAAATATTATTAACCTTTCGAATGAGGACCTTACAATTACGTTATCTTTTAACACAGATGGTGCTCCAATTTTTCACAGTTCTAAGAAATCCTTTTGGCCTCTACAATGTTTTATTAATGAACTTCCACCTGAAATTAGATTCAAATATCCACTTCTCTGCGCATTAAGTATAGATACTCGTGAACCTTCACCAACTCAAATGCAATATTTTATGGAAAAATTTGTAGATCAATCTCTGCATTTAACTAATAAAGGTTTTCACTGTAAAGATTTGAACGATCAAGTTATTACAGTAAAAGTATTACCTTTATTGTGCTGCGTGGATTCTGTTGCTCGTCCAGTCATTCAAAATCGTTCTCAGTTCAATGCATATTGTAGTTGCAGTTGGTGTTATGCACACGGGGTGCATAAAGAAAACTATGTACGTTATCCGATTTTAAAAGAAGAAGATGATGCTATTAGAACAGATGAGAGTCATAAAACTGACGCAGAAAAAGCTTTCAAATTAGGAAATTGGATTAATGGAGTAAAAGGTAAAAGCAGTTTAATGATGTTAATGCTTTTTAACATGGTGTGGGGATTTCCTTGCGATTATATGCATAGTGTCTTAATTGGCGTTGTAAAACAACTATTTCAAATATGGACTGAAAGTAATTCTTCATGGCATTTTACAAAACAGCAACGACAAAAACTAAACGATTTAATGTGTAAAATTACACCATCTCATGAAGTTCATCGTTCACCCAGATCTTTTTTGGATAAAGCTAAATGGAAGGCCTCTGAATGGCAGTCATGGCTGCTATTCTATTGTCTACCATGTTTGGAATGCGTTTTGCCTGATGCTGAATCCCAAATTGATAAAAAAACCGGTATTAATATTATTGAACATACATCATTGTTGGTACGATCTATATTTATTCTTCTCAAAAAATCAATTACTGTTAAAGAGTTGGATCGGTGTGAATATGATATCTTAAAATTTGTTGGAGAATTCGAATTATTGTACGGCATAGGCAGCATGACATTCAATGTACATATTCTACTTCATTTAGTACAGTCAGTTCGAATGTCAGGACCCCTATGGGCTACCTCGGCTTTCCCATACGAAAATGGAATTTTTTATTTAAAAAGGCAGGTCACTGGTCCCAAGGGAATTTATGATCAAATTGTGCGCCGAATGCTGCAAAGAAATTCATTTAAACTCTTATGGAAACAGACGACGCAATCTGAATCGGCAGCTAAATTTTGTAAATTTCTTTTTGATAATAAACAGTGCATACAATCGGTGCAAAGAATATCTGTTGATACTGATGTAATACTTCTAGGACCAAGTTCAAGTAACAAATTTTATGCACGTTGTGTTTACAGAGGTACAATTTATTGTGGAAGTGAATATACTCGAGCAAAAAAAACCAATGACACAATTGCTCAGTTAAAAAATAATTCGATTGTCCAAATAACTAAATTTATTCACGAATCAGATACATTTGTTCGTGTAATAGCAAGAAAATTGTGTAGAGAAACTAAACAAAATTCCTCATTTGATGTTGAACATTTACAGTGCGTTAAAATAATCGAACAAGTGATTACTTTCCCTATTCAAGAAATCAAAGAAAAATTAATATCAATAAAAGTAGAAGGAAGAATTTATGTTAGTTCTATTCCATTTATTGATAACGTCTCGTAGACTTGTCAGAATATTTTATACATGTGCATATCAAAAGTATATAAAATTTTAGTTAAATTCGATTGCGCTTTACTTGCAGATAGAATTTTATGAATGTAAATAATTATGTAGTAAAATTAATAAACACATGTATAGAAAAGTATTAAAATTTTACTAAATATAATTTCATTAAGGCGGTGTTTACATGACTGCATTTGCATGCTGCGTTTTGTGTTAAGCATAAATTAGTCTGTCACTTGTGACGTCAGAGTCGATTTTATAGATGTAGCTTTAGATAGCTGCAGGGAAAAACAGGCGCCCATATTCTTATGGGAAATAAATTGTTTTTACTTTTATCAAATTCACTCATAATTTTTAAACATGGAAAACGCTTGTTAACATGAAGTAAAAATAAATAGTGTTTCGCTAATTAAATGTGCTGCTATGTATTTGATATTCTCGTTTAGTGATGTTTGTTAACTATAACTTGAAATTTTTTACTGTTGCAGTAATTCCCACTTAAAATATATATTTTATATCTTTTTTAATAATATGATGGATTTTGATTGAATCTTAAAAAAACGTGCTTTTGATAAAAAATTATTAAATTTTCCAGCGGATAGAATTTTAAAAAATATGTATAAAAAACTAATGATTAAAAAGTATAAGAATTTCGGAATGATAGATTTTGATTGATTCTTAATAAAATCCTTTTGATAGAAAATTATTAAATTTTCCAGCGGATAGAATTTTAAAAAATATGTATAAAAAGCTAATGATTAAAAAGTATAAGAATTTCGGAATGATAGATTTTGATTGATTCTTAATAAAATCCTTTTGATAGAAAATTATTGAATTTTCCAGCGGATAGAATTTTAAGGAATATTTATAAGAAACTAATGATTAGAAAGTATAAGAATTTCAGAATGATAGATTTTGATAGATTCTTAATAAAATCCTTTTGATAGAAAATTATTGAATTTTCCAGCGGATAGGATTTTAAGGAATATTTATAAGAAATTAATGATTAAAAAGTATAAGAATTTCAAAATGATAGATTTTGATTGATTCGTAATAAAATCCTTTTGATAGAAAATTATTGAATTTTCCATCGGATAAAATTTTAAAGAATATTTATGAGAAACTAATGATTTAAAAGTATAAGAATTTCAAAATGATAGATTTTGATTGATTCTTAATAAAATCCTTTTGATAGAAAATTATTAAATTTTCCAGCGGATAGAATTTTAAAAAATATGTATAAAAAGCTAATGATTAAAAAGTATAAGAATTTCGGAATGATAGATTTTGATTGATTCTTAATAAAATCCTTTTGATAGAAAATTATTGAATTTTCCAGCGGATAGGATTTTAAGGAATATTTATAAGAAATTAATGATTAAAAAGTATAAGAATTTCAGAATGATAGATTTTGATTGATTCGTAATAAAATACTTTTGATAGAAAATTATTGAATATTCCATCGGATAGAATTTTAAAGAATATTTATGAGAAACTAATGATTTAAAAGTATAAGAATTTCGGAATGATAGATTTTGATTGATTCTTATTAAAAACCTTTTGATAGAAAATTATTGAATTTTCCAGCAGATAGGATTGTAAAGAATATTTATAAGAAACTAATGATTAGAAAGTATAAGAATTTCAGAATGATAGATTTTGATTGATTCTTAATAAAATCCTTTTGATAGAAATTTATTGAATTTTCCAGCAGATAGGATTGTACAGAATATTTATAAGAAACTAATGATTAGAAAGTATAAGAATTTCAAAATGATAGATTTTGATTGATTCTTAATAAAATCCTTTTGATAGAAAATTATTGATTTTCCAGCGGATAGGATTTTAAAGAATATTTATAAGAAACTAATGATTAGAAAGTATAAGAATTTCAGAATGATAGATTTTGATTGATTCTTAATAAAATCCTTTTGATAGAAAATTATTGAATTCTCCAGCAGATAGACTATTATAGAACATTAATGTAAATTTTTTGATAGTAGAGTATTATATTTTTTACGGATAGGATATGATAGTTCGTTAATACATAAAGTCGATAAAAAGTTATTACATTTTCATTTGGATAAAATTTGATTAAATTTTAATCCGAATCTTTTGATAATGTAGTATTAAAGTTCCAAGTTATATTCATTTTGATAGAAATTTTATCCAAATATTTGAAAGAGAATGATTAAATGTTACACTTGCTATTGAAAATGATTGGAATTTCAATATTTGATAAATTTGGATTGGAATTTCACTTCATGTTTGATAAAAACTCTATCAAATCCAATACTTTTCAATACTTTTTTTAAACAGGGATGCAAGTGCAGTCAAAGAAAGATTAAAAGAAGCTCAACGTCATAATACCCGTCTGAAAAAACTTATAGAAGCAAATGTACAAGTTCTTGTACATGTTCATTAATGAACTTGTACATTTTCTTGTACATGTTCATTAATGAACTTGTACATTTTCTTGTACATGTTCATGTAATGTTCTTGAACAAGTTCAGCATCCGGAATTGAGACATGTTCTTATACCAGAACTTGTACAAGATCCTGAACAAGAAAATATACTTGTACAAGAAAATGTACATGTTCTTGTACATATTTTTTTGTGCAGGTTTCATGTAAATTTTCTTGTACCAGATGTGGAACATGTTCTTGTACATGTTCATTTATGTCTTTTAAATTAAAAATTAAAAACTTTAAAGGCTGCGCAGTAGTTTTCTTAAGGCTTTACAGCTGCGCAATAATTTTTAACATGCATAAGTGAACAGTCTTAATAATTATAACTTATTAAAATTTCAAATTTTTTTTAAAAACATTTTTAAACAAATGTTCTTGTACAAGAACATAAACGTGTTCATGTTAAAGTACTTGTACATGAAACCTGCACAAAAATATGTACAAGAACATGTACATTTTCTTGTACAAGTATATTTTCTTATCCAAGATCTTGTACAAGTTATGGTACAAGAACATGTCTCAATTCCGGATGCTGAACTTGTTCAAGAACATTACTTGAACATGTACAAGAAAATGTACAAGTTCATTAATGCACATGTACAAGAACTTGTACATTTTCTTTTACAAGTTTTTTCAGCCGGGTGGAGCAATGGAAGAAATTAAACTTGCAAAAGGTCTTCACTTGAAACCACCCTATTGAAAAAAACACGTACAATTATACGTATAATAATACGTATAAATATACGTATAAATATACGTATAATAATACGTATAATAATACGTATAATAAGACATACGAATTTGAAACAAGAATTATACGTATAATTATACGTATAATTGTACGTGTCTATAATTTTTAATATTTAGGAATATATAAATATAGAACATATTTTTGTTTATTAATATATACCTAAATATTATAAAATATTGACAAGTATAATTATACGTATAAATATACGAATAATTATACGTATTATTATACGTATAATTATGCCTATAATAGTACGTATAATTTTACGTATAACAATACGTATAATTATACGCCTATAATAGTACGTATAATTTTACGTATAACAATACGTATAATTATACGTATTATTATACGTATAATTATACTTGTCAATATTTTATAATATTTAGGTATATATTAATAAACAAAAATATATTCCATATTTATATATTCCTAAATATTAAAAATTATAGACACGTACAATTATACGTATAATTATACGTATAATTCTTGTTTCAAATTCGTATGTCTTATTATACGAATAATAATACGTATAATAATACGTATAATAGTACGTATTATTATACGTATATTTATACGTATTATTATACGTATAATTATACGTGTTTTTTTCAATAGGGCATATAAACAGGGCTTGGGCTTGCATTTAAACCCTTTGTTAAAAGAATCAGGTCTACATTTAAAACCTTATCAAAAGGGTCAAGAAATAAAAAAAGGTCTTTAACCTTCCTGAACGACCACTAAATAATTTTGATATAATCAAGTATGCTAAAGCAATGAAAATGCCTCATTTTCGAGGAGTTTTTATGCGAAGTAAGTTACCTATAGGAGGCCCTGGAAAAAATGAATCAGCCATTATAAATCTCGATGATATAGATGGTCCAGGTACTCATTGGGTAGCATTTAAGAAAATTAAAAATAAAGCAGAATATTTTGACAGTTTTGATAATCTTCAACCACCATTTGAACTTGTCAATTATCTTGGCTATAATACTTTAATACAGTACAATCATCAAAATTATCAAGATTATGATACCTTTTATTGTGGTCATTTATGTCTTAAATTTTTATGTGGACAACTGGAAATAACTCAGAAATATACTCTATTTAAATGATGGTAAATCTATATATCTATTTAGTCTATCAAAAGTCATCATCATGGATGATGGTTCACTCTAGAAAATTCGTCTATTCTCGAGGTTGAATATTTTCCTCCTATAGAATTATTACCTCATAAAAATTATGTGCTTGGTTTAGTTGAGTTGTTAACGTTTAATTCAATACCAAATATAGATGAAGGTAAAAATAAATTTTATATTGGTAATCATATAATTACTATACCCCTTGGCAGTTATGAAATAGAAGATATTGAAAAATTTATTCAAAACTCCATTTCTGATGGGTCAAAAATTATAAGTATAAAACCAAATAACAATACTTTAGGTAGTGAAATAAAAAGCAGTCTTAAGGAGGTTATAGCGGAAATAGAATTAACATTAGTAATTTAATGAAATAGAGTCCACTGTTAGATAAATGTTTAAAAATTATGCAGCTAAATTTTTCAGACCTCTAGATTCTTGTGGAAAAAGTTATAAGCGTTTTTGTTTTTTAACAATTAACATTGTGTTTTATGGGAATTAAGTACTTTTTCATACATACCCTGGCGGATTGGGAAAACCGAGTTGTAACCGAATTGGGTTACGATTCGGTTACGTTTTCGGTTCATTGTGAAATATTATCGTTAATCGTCGAAATATTTAGTAAATAACTATTGGGAATGGTTAATATACATTTAAAGTGCATATTTATGCAATAATAATAATAAATTAAGATATAATTAATTAATAATAAGTGTTTTAAGTGTACAGTGCATACAGTTATTGAATTACCATATATATGTATATTACCATCAGCGGCAGCTGTGATACGCGCGTTAAACTCTAGATGGCGTTAAGGATGACTTTGTGAATAAATTTCTAAAATTAAGCCCTTGAGTGTCAAATGTGTAAGTGAATATATAAGTTTTAAAAAAATAGATCAATTTATTAAAACAACTTTTTTGATTTGTACAAATACAAAAATAAAATTTTTATAACGAACAAAAATATTTTTAATGAGAAAAAGATTTTTTTGTGTCAAAATTAATCTTTTTCATTTTATTGAGAAAAAAAATTTTTTATTCAAAAATTCAAAAAAAATTTATTCAAAAAAAAAAAAAATGAGAAAGATTAATTTTGACCCAAAAAAAACTTTTTCTCATTAAAAAAATTTTTGTGCGGTATAAAAATTTTTTTTTTTATATTTGTACAAATCAAAAAAGTTGTTTTAATAAATTGATCTATTTTTTTAAAACTTATATATT